TAGGCAAATCTTTTCCTTGTAAAATATTTTCTTTCCACCTATTTTCCACACATGCAATCAAACGCACCCTAAATGTCAATAACAATTCTTATCAACTCTTGGTAGATGTGTTTATATGAAACATTAATATTCTTTGGTCTTCTGATTTACCAAGAAAAAAATCTTATGCAAAAAACTGTGAGTGGCTACTTGTCAATTTTAAAGATAAAAATTTATAGGACTACATGGCAATGAAAATTTGAATCTACCTGAAATAGTTTAATCCTGGCCATACTAAAGCTTATATAACAGAAAAATTAGGACCCTTCAATTATCTGAAGAATTTTTTTGTTGCCATTCTTGATACAAAAATTTCTTTTTAGTTTCTTGATGCTTATTCAATGAGCAGGTTTGAAGGACTATAAAGATACTGCTTCAGACGACTGATTTCATAAGCTACGTCTAGCATGGTTGGTCTAGTGGCCGGATTGTACTGTGTGCAGATTAGCCCGAGTTCGATCAATTCCAAGATCACGTCACGCCATATCTTGCGGCTGTCATGTTGAATGGTGGCGCATGGTGCACGCCTTTCGATTGCTCCTTCAACAATTGTCTCGAGCCTGTTTGGGTAGTACCTTTTAACCCATTCGTGAAGACTCGGACCTTCTTCGAAAAGGATATCCATTGGGCGTCTCCCCGCCACAATCTCTAATAGAAGTACACCGAGGCTATAAACATCTCCTTGAGGTGATGCCGGCTTTCCCATTCCATATTCTGCAATTGGAAAGACAAATTGATATTGGTCAGTAGGGGCTATTATGATCAACATAATTATGCTAATAAAAAATGATTTAGACATTAAAACGTGACATGTACTATGTAGTACTGTGCAGAATTTTGTGTTCTGATGTCAAATAATTAGCATATTTTTTGAATTTCAGATATTTTATGAATAGAATATTATGAAGACCACTTACCGGGAGCAATATAACCAACTGAACCACAAACCAAACCATCTGTAGATCCGAAGGAATAAGCTGCTGAATCATTGACAGAAACATTCTCATCGGCAACTTTTACCAATCTTGAGATGCCAAAATCAGCGACCAAAGCTGTCATATCGTCATCGAGGAGAATATTGCTCGGCTTAATATCACAATGCACAACTTTTATCGGTGAATAGTGATGCAGATAGGCCATCCCTTCGGCCACATCACTGCAAATTCTGACGAGCTGAACCAAATCCAATCCACATTTTGGTCCATGGCTCGGATACAGTTGATTTTCAAGGCTTCCATTTGGCATCAGGGGAAGGACAATGGCCTTAAAATCTGGCCTGCTGCATATTGTTATGATCCTGATTAAATTTCTGTGCCTGGTTCTTTTCAAAATTTGACATTCCCTTTTAAAGCTCCCGGAAATTTCTC